GAATTGATCAGGCTCAACATTGCTTAACTTCCGTGATCGTACAGGAACCAGTGTTTCAACGTGATGTAAACGTAAGCAGATTATGCAAGAAACAGATAATGTTTTAATAATAATAATAATAACTGCTTTTTAGTTGCTTGGCCTTAAGCAGTTGGGTAGGTTCCTTAAGGTTTAACGTACTGTGTATTTAATGAGAGTAATGAGAGGTTCTTTTTAAGTTTGAATAATGAGGCGTCAAAAGAGGGTCAAATATAAATACATCTTCAAACGGACACAGTATAAGCTGACTGGGTTACCCGACTGGATGATATTTCTAACTGGGCCCAAACTGTAAGGTTATGCGCTTGTCACCATATCATGCACATTTCGCTAAGATACATGTACATTATCAGACTAGTTGTCATGTTGGGTATGTTCTGCTTCCTATATTTATACCCCGACATCACTTTGTTGGCGTACTGCTTTCACGCTTAATAATAATGAAAATAATTTTTGAAATTCAAACGAATCACCAAGACATTAGATCAAACCGTGTTATCGTAAACAAAGAAAAGAAAATTCGATAAAAAATAATTGCTTCTGTTTTAGTCCAACACGCAGCGAAAGTGAAATCTATATAATACTGTTGTAACATAGGGAAGGTTACTGAATATAATAATCAAACAAAGGTTGGTATTGAAAGATAATAATTAGGACAAGAACAACACATATAAGATTCGCCAGTGGTGCGTAGAAGAAATAGTCAACTGCTAGAAATGAGTCAAGTGAATTCCACAATGAATCTCCAACTTCAGGATATCTACCAACCGCCAACGCGGTCAGATGTGGCACAAGGCCGAATTTAATGTGGAGTATCCGAGTCCGTAGGCTCGCCCAAAAATTCCTCGTAGACTCCGTATAAAACGGGGTGGGGTAGTTGTTTCTCGAGATGAGACTCTGCCCTTCGACATGGCCTCATCTGGGGATCCTCTCTGCTCAGAGGCGGAGAGTTTGACCAGCACAGCTGGAAACGAATCTCCAACTGTAGACCAACATACAGTATTTACTACTGTATTTATGTGAATGGACACATACCCATTATCATCTGTACCTATGCTACAACAAATGTGTAATTAATAATAAAATTGATAATATTGTAACCTCATCCTTTTGTATCATGAACTGCTTTTAAAAGGAATCCAACGAGTTTATGGGGGTGTAATAGTATTTACAGCCGAAAAATATCAAAACTTTGCAAGTTAAATGAAAAAAAAAAGTGGAATATAAGAGTGCTAATCATGTCTCCCATTATCGGCGTGTCAAAAAGTCTCATAAAAACATTAGAAGAATTAAAAATCCAAGGAAATTATTAAAACAACAGCATTACTATAATCAACAAGAATACAGAGGAAAGTATTGGGGTACTGATAAGGCTTTCTACCACTTGATCAAGCAAAGGCCACCAGATACGAATTGTGGAAAACTCAACGGACGATTACGAAATTGATAAGCCAAAAGCTGACGTAAGAAATAGAAGAAGAAAAAACTTGTAAATGTAAAACACTACTTTATCCACGACAGAAGATTGATAATTCTCAACTAAGAACGAAAAAAGAATCCTAATTGTATATGCAGCCGGTTACCAGATGGTTTTAAAGTAAAGAAAGAAAAAAAAATCAAAGACTCAATTCTCCAAAATATATAGAAAATGAATGTGACAGATGTCCTGAAAACTGCTGGAACAATAGATTCAGTTCTAAAATTTCCAAATAAAAAAAATTGAAACAATACGGAACCGAGTATCGCGAAACACTACAAGAATAATGAAAGAAGATTCAGAACTTTATAAGGTTTCATATGAGTTCAGCTTACACAATACGCAAGTCCAAGAAGTTCACAAAGAAGGGCATTGAAAATTTCCTATGTTTACTTATTCGCGAATGGATATTTTTGTCTTGATATATATAATGAGCTCCGATCTGAAACAACATATCAAGTTACAGCTGCGTTAGAAGTGAAACAACTGTTGTCGTCCGATCAGCGAAATTAAGCAACGTCGAGATTGATATTTTCACCGTTCATCTATCTGATGAACGCATGAGAATACCAGGTGCTGTAAGCTTGGATATGTATGTGATGTAATGGATAACGGCTCAGAATTGTTAATTTCAATTTCTTGGGAAATGTGTGAATTCACTTCTTCTCCCCCCTCCCCACCGGGAATTAGTTTATAATTAGTAGGACTTTTATCAGTGGATGTTAATCTCCAAACTATTCTTATAATCTAAAAAATATATATTCTGACTTTAAATAACCTGCAAAAGGCCGATAACCCATAAGAAACAAAACAATAAAACTGGAAAAAATTATTTTTTTATCAAGGTGGAACACAACTTGCATGTTGTTGTTGTTGTTGTTCTTCTTCTTCTTCTTCTTCTTATTATTATTATTATTATTATTATTATTGTTTGTGTATGTTATGTCTCCTGCTTTGTATCCTGTAGAGCCGGGTCCAAACTATGGTCCTTAGGCCCTATAGGAGAATTGTCATTTAATTGATAGTACTTTTCTTAGTATATGGGATGTTCTTAATAAAGCGATCTTCCGGGTAACACGTATGTTGATGTTACCTGGGACACTGTTAGTAAGATTATCTATTCTTTTTCTCACGAGGCCTAGAGATCCAATTACTATTGGTACAGCCTCAATCTTCATTCCCCACATCTGTTAATCTCGATCTCCAGGTTCTTGTATTTGGTCAATTTCTCGATAATTTTTATGTAGGGGTTTTTCTCGGTAGTGCTATGTCAATAAATATACACTTCCTGAATTTCTTGTCTTTTATGATAATATCAGGTCTTTTGACATTTATTTCCCTGTCAGTTTGAATTGGCATGTCCCAGAGGATAGTTACATCGTTATTTTGTGAAACTGTGTCTGGTTGGTGCTGATATAATCTCTCAGTGATTTCGATTTTGTGCTTCTTGCATATCTTCCAGTGCACATATGTCACTATTATTATTATTGTTGAATAAGAGTACAGCAAGCTAACAAATTGATGCTGGGGTACAAATATACGATGTTCAATATACCCACCATAGCGTCTAGTCTAATAAAAATGTGCGCGATATAGTGAATGTTTTTTTTTGTTTTTTTTTTAATAAAAGCAGCGTATAAACTTGCAGGTGGAGCCCAGTTAGAAATGCCTTCAAGTAGAGTAACACAGTCTGCGCTGACAGTCTCCGAATGAAAGTGTTCCCAAGTACCTAAATGTGGTTTCTGAGTCATAAAAAACGCCCTATATTCTGATATAAGTTCCCCTACTTGCAACTCATGAATAGAGTATCATGCCCAACCGGTTATGGCTAGGCAAATCTGTGGCACTGAACGGGATATTTACTCTAGCTCACCTTTATCCACCAAAACAAAACATGTACATGTTAGCACCTCCAATCAATGAAGAGCAAAAGCTATGAGAGTTATGCTTAGTGTAGCATCATGGTAAGTATTATTATTAATAATTTGATTTGATCTGATATCGTCTCAGACTCTTAAATGTTTCGGCCTGTTGATAATGATTATATCTTAGCTCCTACCCGCAGTTGAGAGGGACAACACTTTCCTCAGCACATGAGCTTTTCCAAGCGGTGCTGCCACCTGCGCACTCCCAATGATGACAGATATCCCTAAGCCTTTATGCATAACAAAAAATTCCTGAAAATCGCTGTTGCTCGGTATATTTCTCTTATTTCGCTTGTCAGGTCTTGGTACTTCTGTATTTGCACCTGCTCCGCCGGATTATTATTATTATTAGAGTACATTTTGTGTGCGTTGTGTAAAAAGACATTGTCATTATTTCATTCCACATGTGTGTTATCAGATGTCAGCCTTTGGGTTTCTACACGATTAGAAAATATTAATGGAAAACACATATTCTGAGAACCTGGGCACCTTTGCGAGGTGTAATTGTTAGTAAGCTTGTATCGCTAGGATCAATAGTTCGGTCCTCACTGAGTGCCTCATAGTTTCGGCATTGGGCCACATCTAAGCTGCGCTTAGAAAATCAACATATTCAGAGAACCTTGGAAAGAAATTAATGACTTGGAGTAATTAGATTTTGAGAATTCTAGTTTTAAGCAGAAAGAAAATTAATATACTTCATCAGTACCGTGAAATGTACTTAAAAATATCTATTTATTAAATTTAATATCTATTTATTAAATTTAAGGTATTATTTATCTTAGAACGTTTTGGTCTCACAAGACTAGTGAAAAATCTCTTAGAATAAAAGGTTGAATACAGCGTTGGTTGAATTTTTCTTCGGTTACTACCAAGCTGTCGCGTGTGTAGACCAGATAGAGACGGCTCCTCAAAGCTACGTAGAAGATTTAATTTGCATTCATGCTTTAAAAGCTTCAAAGCTTTATAGAATAAAACAGTGGATTTTTACGAAAGTATTGGATCAGAATGTACGATCTGTTCCAGCCAGGTTTATTATCAGTGACATCTTTAAGAAGCGGCAGGTCTCTTAGGCCCACTCGACGAATTTCCTTTGGTAAGGAAACTCCAACAGAAAACCTACAGCCTAGAGGCATTACTATCACCACCCATGGGGTACAAATATACGAAGTAAAAAAAAAGCTATGTTTAGTGTAGCATCACGGCAATTATTGTTATTATTATTATTAATTTGATTTGATCTGATATCGTCTCGAAATAAATTAGGCCAACCCTCAAGTAGAAAATGAGCTAGACCAGAATATACTCCCACTAGTCTAACTCTCCTTTCCCATTTAACAAGATTGATTGTTTTTATGGTTTATCAACCTTTTGCAAATTACTTAACGCCTGAAAATATTTGTAGAATGTAAACATTTTTTTTTTAGATAATAATGATTTCCTGATACAAGTCATACATTTCCCAAAAGGTATTTCCGCGTAAGTGAATGAAACGAACCTGACAATTTCCAATTCCATGTTGTTAACGATTATACCACCTGCACATTCACGGTTACATTTTGGGGTATTCTCAAGCGGTCACCCATCTAGGTACTGGCAAGGCTCGACATTGCTTAACTTCGGTGATCGTACGAGAACCGATGTTTCAACGTGATATGACCGTAAGCAATTTTATAAAAAGTGTATTATTGTATCCACGGATGATTGTCGGGGATACTATGGCTCATGTAATGTCTCACGTCTGCTAACATTATTTGTGGGCATTCTCCAAGTTTGTATACTCAAGAGAAATTTGTTTATTTTAAATAAACAGCTGCATTAATTGAACAAGATTTGTTTCTTTTTAGAAACATCAATCCTTGATTACTGTTAACTGAGTCCATATCAGTTAATCGACGAGAGCCATCCCATAAAATTCTAGTTAAGAAAAACAGCTGTTGATTTTCAGGAAAAGTGGGTATAAACTGGTCTAGACTTGGTTATTTTATACACCGAGCTGTGAAGTAAGAGTAAAGTAGGCTAGCACCGGTAATCATGGAACTTCGTACCTGCAAAAAAAAAAAAGAAAAAAAAAGGAAATAAACGGTGTACCAAAAGGGACGGTTTTTCCTATGACACCGCTTTTATTTTAACTACTTTTCGGCAATTTTTATTGTTTCAAAAAGACGAGAAATAATTATTTCGTTCAAAAAAGTCACGCAAATATTTCTAAATAGAATTAAAGAAGAGAAAATTGCAATTTGATGGAAAAAAGGTTTCTTAATGTAGTTATTTTTTTAATGAAAATAACAATTTGACAATTTTAAAATTATAAATATAACATTACTATTCTCAGTAATGTTTGAAGTAATTTTCTGTCTAGTGACTATTCTTTTCAGGCTGGTTTTCAATTTTCAGATTGACAATTGCAATTTCCTTACATAATATTTTCATAAAAATACAGATATAAATCATAAATTTTCTTTATCGACAAAAATATTTAATTAATGTTCAAATTGACAGATTGAGCTGGAAAATGGGAGAGTAGAAATAATGACAGTGGACAATGATAAAAAAGTTGAAATCTATGTCTCTTGAACTCAAATTCAATCGGTACCAAAAGAAAATCTATGTCTCTTGAACTCAAATTCAATCGGTACCAAAAGAAAATCTATGTCTCTTGAACTCAAATTCAATCGGTACCAAAAGAAAATCTATGAACTCTTGAACTCAAATTCAATCGGTACCAAAAAGAAAATCTATGTCTCTTGAACTCAAATTCAATCGGTACCAAAAAGAAAAATCTCTTGAACTCAAATTCAATCGGTACCAAAAGAAAATCTATGTCTCTTGAACTCAAATTCAATCGGTACCAAAAGAAAATCTATGTCTCTTGAACTCAAATTCAATCGGTACCAAAAGAAAATCTATGTCTCTTGAACTCAAATTCAATCGGTACCAAAAGAAAATCTATGTCTCTTGAACTCAAATTCAATCGGTACCAAAAAGAAAATCTATGTCTCTTGAACTCAAATTCAATCGGTACCAAAAGAAAAATGTCTCTTGAACTCAAAAATCGGTACCAAAGAAAATCTATGTCTCTTGAACTCAAATTCAATCGGTACCAAAAGAAAATCTATGTCTCTTGAACTCAAATTCAATCGGTACCAAAAGAAAATCTATGTCTCTTGAACTCAAATTCAATCGGTACCAAAAGAAAATCTATGTCTCTTGAACTCAAATTCAATCGGTACCAAAAGAAAATCTATGTCTCTTGAACTCAAATTCAATCGGTACCAAAAGAAAATCTATGTCTCTTGAACTCAAATTCAATCGGTACCAAAAGAAAATCTATGTCTCTTGAACTCAAATTCAATCGGTACCAAAAGAAAATCTATGTCTCTTGAACTCAAATTCAATCGGTACCAAAAGAAAATCTATGTCTCTTGAACTCAAATTCAATCGGTACCAAAAAAGAAAATCTATGTCTCTTGAACTCAAATTCAATCGGTACCAAAAGAAAATCTATGTCTCTTGAACTCAAATTCAATCGGTACCAAAAGAAAATCTATGTCTCTTGAACTCAAATTCAATCGGTACCGAAAAGAAAATCTATGTCTCTTGAACTCAAATTCAATCGGTACCGAAAGAAAATCTATGTCTCTTGAACTCAAATTCAATCGGTACCGAAAGAAAATCTATGTCTCTTGAACTCAAATTCAATCGGTACCGAAAGAAAATCTATGTCTCTTGAATCAAATTCAATCTTATCTCTTGAACTCAAATTCAATCGGTACCGAAAGAAAATCTATGTCTCTTGAACTCAAATTCAATCGGTACCAAAAAGAAAATCTATGTCTCTTGAACTCAAATTCAATCGGTACCAAAAAGAAAATCTATGTCTCTTGAACTCAAATTCAATCGGTACCAAAAAGAAAATCTATGTCTCTTGAACTCAAATTCAATCGGTACCGAAAGAAAATCTATGTCTCTTGAACTCAAATTCAATCGGTACCAAAAAGAAAATCTATGTCTCTTGAACTCAAATTCAATCGGTACCGAAAGAAAATCTATGTCTCTTGAACTCAAATTCAATCGGTACCGAAAAGAAAATCTATGTCTCTTGAACTCAAATTCAATCGGTACCGAAAAGAAAATCTATGTCTCTTGAACTCAAATTCAATCGGTACCGAAAAAGAAAATCTATGTCTCTTGAACTCAAATTCAATCGGTACCGAAAGAAAATCTATGTCTCTTGAACTCAAATTCAATCGGTACCGAAAGAAAATCTATGTCTCTTGAACTCAAATTCAATCGGTACCGAAAGAAAATCTATGTCTCTTGAACTCAAATTCAATCGGTACCGAAAGAAAATCTATGTCTCTTGAACTCAAATTCAATCAAATCTCTTGAACTCAAATTCAATCGGTACCGAAAGAAAATCTATGTCTCTTGAACTCAAATTCAATCGGTACCGAAAAGAAAATCTATGTCTCTTGAACTCAAATTCAATCGGTACCGAAAGAAAATCTATGTCTCTTGAACTCAAATTCAATCGGTACCGAAAGAAAATCTATGTCTCTTGAACTCAAATTCAATCGGTACCGAAAGAAAAAAACTCAAATTCAATCGGTACCGAAAGAAAATCTATGTCTCTTGAACTCAAATTCAATCGGTACCGAAAGAAATCTCTTGAACTCAAATTCAATCGGTACCGAAAGAAAATCTATGTCTCTTGAACTCAAATTCAATCGGTACCGAAAGAAAATCTATGTCTCTTGAACTCAAATTCAATCGGTACCAAAAAAGAAAATCTATGTCTCTTGAACTCAAATTCAATCGGTACCAAAAAAAAAATCTATGTCTCTTGAACTCAAATTCAATCGGTACCGAAAGAAAATCTATGTCTCTTGAACTCAAATTCAATCGGTACCAAAAGAAAATCTATGTCTCTTGAACTCAAATTCAATCGGTACCAAAAGAAAATCTATGTCTCTTGAACTCAAATTCAATCGGTACCAAAAAAGAAAATCTATGTCTCTTGAACTCAAATTCAATCGGTACCAAAAAGAAAATCTATGTCTCTTGAACTCAAATTCAATCGGTACCAAAGAAAATCTATGTCTCAAATTGAACTCAAATTCAATCGGTACCGAAAGAAAATCTATGTCTCTTGAACTCAAATTCAATCGGTACCGAAAGAAAATCTATGTCTCTTGAACTCAAATTCAATCGGTACCAAAAGAAAATCTATGTCTCTTGAACTCAAATTCAATCGGTACCAAAAGAAAATCTATGTCTCTTGAACTCAAATTCAATCGGTACCAAAAGAAAATCTATGTCTCTTGAACTCAAATTCAATCGGTACCAAAAGAAAATCTATGTCTCTTGAACTCAAATTCAATCGGTACCAAAAGAAAATCTATGTCTCTTGAACTCAAATTCAATCGGCCCTTGAACTCCAAAACAAAAGAAAATCTATGTCTCTTGAACTCAAATTCAATCGGTACCAAAGAAAATCTAATTCAAATTCAATCGGTACCAAAAGAAAATCTATGTCTCTTGAACTCAAATTCAATCGGTACCAAAAGAAAATCTATGTCTCTTGAACTCAAATTCAATCGGTACCAAAAGAAAAATCTATGTCTCTTGAACTCAAATTCAATCGGTACCAAAAGAAAATCTATGTCTCTTTGAACTCAAATTCAATCGGTACCAAAAGAAAATCTATGTCTCTTGAACTCAAATTCAATCGGTACCAAAAGAAAATCTATGTCTCTTGAACTCAAATTCAATCGGTACCAAAAGAAAATCTATGTCTCTTGAACTCAAATTCAATCGGTACCAAAAGAAAATCTATGTCTCTTGAACTCAAATTCAATCGGTACCAAAAGAAAATCTATGTCTCTTGAACTCAAATTCAATCGGTACCAAAAGAAAATCTATGTCTCTTGAACTCAAATTCAATCGGTACCAAAAGAAAATCTATGTCTCTTGAACTCAAATTCAATCGGTACCAAAAGAAAATCTATGTCTCTTGAACTCAAATTCAATCGGTACCAAAAGAAAATCTATGTCTCTTGAACTCAAATTCAATCGGTACCAAAAGAAAATCTATGTCTCTTGAACTCAAATTCAATCGGTACCAAAAGAAAATCTATGTCTCTTGAACTCAAATTCAATCGGTACCAAAAGAAAATCTATGTCTCTTGAACTCAAATTCAATCGGTACCAAAAGAAAATCTATGTCTCTTGAACTCAAATTCAATCGGTACCAAAAAGAAAATCTATGTCTCTTGAACTCAAATTCAATCGGTACCAAAAGAAAATCTATGTCTCTTGAACTCAAATTCAATCGGTACCAAAGAAAAAGAAAAATCTATATCTCTTGAACTCAAATTCAATCGGTACCAAAAGAAAATCTATGTCTCTTGAACTCAAATTCAATCGGTACCAAAAGAAAATCTATGTCTCTTGAACTCAAATTCAATCGGTACCAAAAGAAAATCTATGTCTCTTGAACTCAAATTCAATCGGTACCAAAGAAAATCTATGTCTCTTGAACTCTCTCGGTACCAAAAGAAAATTCAATCGGTACCAAAGAAAATCTATCTCTTGAACTCAAATTCAATCGGTACCAAAAGAAAATCTATGTCTCTTGAACTCAAATTCAATCGGTACCAAAA